TTTTTTTTTTTTTTTTTTTTCAAAACTATTGCTTGTGATATGGTTGGGATATGGTTGGTGGGTTAGTGTCGTTATTATTGTTTTAATTACCCAAGTTTCCATTTTTTGAATTCCCCTTTAGTATAGAGCCAAAAAAAAAAATTAGCTTGCAATGGGTGTATGCCAAGTTTAATGGTGTGAAGTTGTACCTAAAATGTTTACTGTGGGACTGTGTATTTTCTCAAGTGCTGGTAGTTTCTCTGGCTCTTATTTTTAAAGGAATATACCATTGGTTTGGTTTTACCGACTTAATTTTGGAACGTGCAATGTGGATTGTGGTGCAGAAGAATTGTTGCCAGTAAATAGAGTAATTGATAGTTAATACATGCACTGTTATTGGATTCTGTAGATTGAATTAGCTACGAAGAGAGACGTTTGCTTATTATGGTTAGCTTTGTGTGGGAGGGCCTTTTGACGTCTCTTTCCAGTTAGAGTTTTCCTTCATTCGTAGTAATGTGATCATATTTTGTTGAAAAAATCTTATTCATCACCTTGCGTATTCATAAGGGCCGATGATGAATCATGGTCCGGGGTGCATGATTGATGGGTTGGTCTATAATCTATATACGCATGTGGTGCAGCCGTGCAGGAATCAAGAACTGAAACTGCCGGACAGAAACTTCATGTTGAAAATATTATATACCTTTCTTTCTGTCTAATCTTCACTAATTATGTTTGCGATAGATGTGTGACATACTGACATGCTTATCTTGTAAGCCCCTTAGTTTTCATGAATGTGTTTTGAAAGTGTTCTTCCTATTTTTTATTATTTAGCATCTTTCTCTTTTGTTTTGTTTTGTTTTGAGTTTTGTTTTGCTTTGTTTTGTTTTATTTTGTTTTGTTTTTGTTTTGAGCTCCTTTTGTGTTTCTCCTACCACTGTTTCTCTTGTGTTTCATCTCTAGCCTATCCCAACTTGTTTGGGATTAAAAGGCTTTGTTGTTGTTGTTGTATATGATGGATGAGAAGAGATATCGTAATATCTTGTATCATATCCCCATCCAATGCTAAATGAGTTTCCCTACTACATTTCAATCAGTGTTAATATTTTTCAAATCATTGTGTATTATCAACAGTTAAGTATATCTTCACAACTTTCTTAAGTTTGTCAAGTTCACCTTGCAACATTACATCTGCGCATAATTGTTTCGGATCCAACGAGAAACCTCTTTTTTTCTTGATTCTCATGCGATATATGTTCTTAAAATCCTTCACTCTTCAACAATCAACAGCGCTGGCATTCATGACCTACGCCTGGAGGGCCGTCCTGTGGGAACTCTTCAACTGGAAACGGGCTCTCAGTGCCATCGGCCGATTCTTAGGCTACATCTCGAAAATCATTTTAGCCCTCGTATTCAGCTTCATCGGCGACCCACTTACCTTCTCCATACGAGCAATCGAGACATCACTCTACACCGTTCGGGCTTTCTACTCGAGCATAATTTGGCACGCGCCCGTCCCCGAGCTGGCAACAATCGTCATGCTGACATCAGCGGTGCTCGCCGTGGCCGAGACCGCCGTCCCGGATTCCATCGACAGCCAGCCGTACATGCTCACCCTGGCGGGCTTGATCGGGTTTGCCGCTGTTAAAAACTACATAAACGAGCTTTTTTTCTGGACGTTGCTCGTGGGTCTGTTCGGGTTCAATAGTTTTGTGAAAAAGAGGGATTATGTGTCATCTGCTTTGCCTGTTGCTGCTGTTTTGGTTGCTGTGGGGGAGCCGTGGGTCAGAGTGGTCGCGATGGGCTCGTATTTGGGCCTGGCTGTGTTTTACCGTTCGAGAAGGCCCGTGGATTTGAAAGAAGATGGGGATGGAGGGGTAAGAAGGAAAAGGGTTCCTCTTCCGCTGCTGTGTGCTGGGCTGGCGATTGGAGTCCGGGTTGCTGCTAACTGGGCCGGGTACCGGCATCTGACTTGGATGATTGTGTAGATGTGGTTTCTTTCTTTCTTTAGGAATAGAGAATTCTGTCTTATATTCTGTTATCTGTTTTGTTTGCATTTTGTGTACTGTTTTGAAAGGCGCCGGGCTATGGCAGCCTTGGGATTATTAGACTGGAATACCATGAAGTTTTCTGTTACTGTGTTTTTACGTTTTAGGTGCAGGACTTGGTAAGAGGGTATGCTCCAATGTTGAGTTTTATTAAAGTCTTTGTAAGTCATCCAGATTCTTAATATAAGTTTTATTAAAATAATGAATATGAAGTAATACATAAAAACCTTTATGAAATGTTTTTGTTCATTTTCAACATCCACAACATTAAAATCTTTCCGCATTTATAAATAAACACAAATGTAAATATATTTCGAAATTCTATTTTTCTATTTGTTGAACTTTTAAGTTGTTTATATGAATTTAAGATTTTTTTAAAATTTAATTTAATATTAATAAAAGGTATTTTAAAATTTGGTGCAGTACTTTGGCCAGGTTTTGGGGCCAGATTCCGGTTCGAGCTTTCAAAAAAGTTAATACGATGTGTCCGATGTCTCCGGTCCAACCCGAGAACTGGCCCATCCCGCCGGTTTTGGTGGGTAAAAATTATAGATTTCAAAATTCAATGTGTTGACACAATTTCAATTTCGACTCAAAACCAGTTGATCAAACTTAACTTCAGGCTGAGTTTTGTATGCAATACAAGATTGACGATGGACAGTCACCCAATCTAAAAACACGGCCGAAGCCCATTTTTTATTTTTATTCACAAACGCCAAAAAAACACTTGGACAGACGGTGCACCCCAAATTTATAGGTCCGATGGGGCTCGGGTGATTAATGAGTTGAACTTAAACTCATTTAAAGCTCGTCAGGTTAACAACTCGACTTGATATATTTCGAAAAGATGATTTTTATATATAATTTTCTACAATTTAACTCATTAAAACTCAATTCTAATTCGTTAAGGCTCGAGCTCAATTATGAGTTCATTAAGTTAACAAAGCGAGCTCAACTCCTTAAGGGCTCGACCGGGTCAGCTCGTTTACACGGATCGGGTTATTCATTTCATAACCCGTCAACCCGAGAAATCTGGCTATTTCAGTAATGCGTAGCCGGCCGTTTCATGATTCAGATAAGCACAGTCAATGTTAGGGTTTCCAATTTCCAAACTCGGCTCCCAAATTTTATATAAAGCCCCAAAATCCTCTACAGCCTCTATTCTCTCGGCGTATATTATGAGCCCTTCTCTTCAGATCCTCTTTATTTCATGCATTCATAAATTTATGAGTTTTAATTTATCTGTGTGTGTATTGCACGTAGCTACCCCGGGCTCCTCTGAAACTCACCGATGTAGAAAGAAGCCCCAATGCTAGTGCTAAAATTTTCGCCCTTTAGTGTTGCAGATCTGTCGCCTTTGTACCTTATTAATCCGCACGACCGATCTGTGTCAAATAAATGGCTATATTTTTGCTCATATCAAGCTCTGGGTTTCATGTTTGGTGTGCTTTTGTTGTTTAATTTCTGTTTGGGAATGTCTAAGTTTATGCCTATGAATAATTGCTTATCAGCGCTTCTGAGATTTCGACATTGAATTTCTTGATATGAGCCATTGAGCATAAAAATGTAATCTTTTCCAGCTTGTTTTTGTTCGTTTTTTAGTAAATCTAAGGTACCCAGATTTAAGTCGGATTTTCTATGGAGCCATCGGATGGCTCCGCTTATGGAGTCATCCATTGTTATTTACAAATGATGTATTAACATGTGTCCTACAATAAATGCACATTAGACATGTGTCGGTAAATAAAGTTATGGATAACTCCATAAGGGAGCCATCCGATGGCTCCATAAAATTTCTATTAAGCTATATGCCAATGATGTTATAATGGATAGTAAATGAGTTGTGGTGAGGCCAAGTGCCTGCATCTGCAGGTGAACCCACTTGGAAGACCCATGTTACAGAGGATCAAAATCCATTGACTGAGGCAAATAAAATGTACTTTTATTTAGTGTTGGGTTTATGGGTTTCATTGTTTGTGTGACTGTGTCTGTGTATTATAAAAATCATTGATTACGTACTTGCCATATAAAAATTACAAAGTTTTGACTATTTCAAGAGCGTCGGGTGAGGAGAAGTGGAATTTGTTGTGATTCTCCGGTTGCGGGTTGTTGGGTGGTCTACCGCGGTGAGGGGTCGGGTCCTTTTGTCTCAGATCTGGTTAGCCGATGTTTCTACAATTTCTGGTTTTGTGGCTTGAACCAAGTCTTTGGCACTGTGGGTGGTCGCTTGGGGGTGTCGACATCGTTGGTGTTCTATTTGGTTTCGCTGTTGTGGGAAGGGCTCTCAATTATTTTGTTTTGTGTTTTTTAGTTGTGGTTGTGTTTTTGAGCGTGTTTTTGTTTTGTAGGTTGAGTTTTGTTTTCTCTTTTTCGATAGGATTGTGTTATTCCCTTATGAGTTGTGTTATTCTATTTTGGGGAGTTTGTGTATTCTCCTGATGAGTTTTATTTTTCTTTTTTGCCGGTGTTGTAAATTTTAGGTTGCCTAGTGTAATCCTTCCATTCTGGCTATTTGTCGACTTTAATTATGTATTTTAGTTCAATGAATGAAGCGTTTCGAAAAAGAAAAAGGCCCGAAATAAACACTCTTATTAAAAAGAAACTAAATAAAAGATGCAGGGCCCAATATCTGCTTACGGATAAGAGAGCACCAGAATGCTCCACATGGCCATTGTGAATATCATTTATTGAAACACTACCAAAGTCCCCACTCTTATCCTAAGATACCTTAATAATGCCTTTTTCCCTTCAACAAAATTGATCCATAACATTTCTGTGTTGGATATTGGTAGTAATTTGATAATTGAAATGGCACTTGGAAACAGTAAATAAAAAATGATATATATGGCTGAAAACCAGTGTTCTCGCTAGGTGTTCGACCAGCGGCTAGCACTTGGAGCGCCTAGGTAGGGCCTAAAAATTAATATTAAGTATCTTATTTTTTATTTATTTTAACTATCTACAAAATAAAATTATCTCAATTTATTATAAATCAACACACCTAAGCCAATAAATTAATATCTTTTAATATTTAAAAATTGAAAAATTTCCGTTGAGTTCGCCAAGGAGTGCCTAGGGCAGTCTGACGCCGCCTAGCCGCCTGTCAGATTTTTTCTGTCGATTTGTACAATTCAGAGGCGCCCGAACACTGCTAGGTCGATTTTTAGAACAATGCTGAAAAGATGAAAGAAAGTTCTCAGTGTCAAGTGTAAATACAAACTCTTATGTTAGAAATATATATTTATGTTATGAAAATAACACATTTTTATTTAAGTTATATGTTTCAAATTGAAATTATGCATACTTTATTAAAAGAAATATGAATGTCTCAATATTGAATCTGCATGTAATCTCATTGTTGTATGTAGCTAGGGCTGCAAACGAACCGAGCGACTCGCGAACGCTTGAGTCAAAGCTCGACTCGAGCTCGAGAACACGTTAAATTACTAAATACCCGTTATTATATATATTAGTATAAGTGCTTAATGGTAATTATAATTTTCTATTAAAAAATCAACTTTTGTCCCCATTAACAAATAAAAATAAAAATAATTAGAGATAATATGGTCAACGTAACAGGAAAAATAGGAAAAGTTATGGTGAAAAAAAACATTTCTTTATTGCCGTATTCTCCGTTTAATGTAATCTTATATCCAAAAACCAGCCTAAATTTCCTCTCACCAGTTTTTCAGTCGCTGGTCCAAACAGGTCTTAAAATTCATCGTTCACCGGCATTCATCACAAGAAACAGTGCAAAAGAACAGATCTTTACAGGGCATTTACCGCAGAAGCTGAAGCCCAAAAGTGGGCGCTTTCTGTGATTTCGGTATCAGCTCAGCTCCGTCTACAAGAAAGGAAAAAGAGATAAAAAAAGATGGGTTTTTTCTCATATTTCAACCGGATTCTGAAGGCATATCCAGCTTCAGCCAAGCTTTTGGTTCTTTGTTCTGTCAGGTTACATTTCGTCCCCTTCGTATGATGTCGCGTTTTCTTTCTTGACTTGAATGTTAGAGATTTTTTTTTTTTTTTTTTTGGCACAATTCTCTTTATTAAACATGATCTGCTGAGTTTTGTGCTTTTAGTTTACTGTTGTGTGGCGTGATAGTGTGGTCCCTTTGATTTGTGAGAAGGCTGTCCTTAATTTACAATAAAAAAGATTCGATTTTTTTCATCCTTCCTTAAGGAACTCGTTTGACTCATTTGGGAAAACATCGTACAAGTTCTTATGATGTGTTTTTGTTTGAAGCCTTTTCAAGTATATGGGCAACTGAGAGAGTATCCTATCAAGAAACTGGGCCGTTGTCTTTGATTAGACAATAATCTGTACATTTTATCACACCGATCTAATTTCATCAGCTTTGACTACCTACCTCCATTTTTTTTTTCAGCATTGCTCAATTCTAACGGAATATTTCTTTTGCTCTCGAGCTGTCAACAGTACTGGGAGCTTGATAGCATATGCAGATTTGCCTTCAGAAGGTAAAGAATCAAGTGCTATACAGAATCTGAAGGAAACACAAAAGAAAAAGGTGGTAGTTCTTGGTACCGGGTGGGCTGGGACGAGCTTTCTGAAGGATCTCGATATCTCATCGTACGATGTTCAAGTGGTCTCACCTAGGAACTACTTTGCATTCACCCCTTTGTTACCTAGTGTCACATGTGGAACTGTCGAGGCCCGAAGCATTGTTGAGCCAGTTCGTAACATTATAAAGAAGGTGAAATTTCGAATTCTTAACCCAAGTTGTTTTCTCTAATCTTTGAGTGTATATTATTCAAGGAAACTGTGCTTTTCCATTTTTCTTTCATTACAACATCACGAGTTGTTAGCTTCCGTACTCTTATTTAGTGCTATACTATTCGGAAACCCTTTGACAGAGAAATGGCGAAATTAAGTTCTGGGAAGCCGAATGCCTCAAGATCGACCCCACGAACAAAAAGGTGTTTTGCCGGTCTAATATTGACGAGAACTTAGCTGGGAGTAACGAATTCTCGTTAGAATATGATTACCTGGTAATAGCCATTGGGGCTCAAGTGAACACGTTTGGTACTCCAGGCGTCTCGGAGCATTGCCATTTTCTCAAGGTAATATGTCCTTTATTTGAGAATTGACTGAATATATCGAAATGTACTGGAATGCGTTTTATCTTATGAAGGAAGTGGAGGATGCTCAAAGAATCCGTAGGACTGTAATTGATTGTTTTGAAAAAGCTGTCCTTCCCGAACTAACCGAGGAAGAGCGGAGAACTAACCTCCATTTTGTAATAGTCGGTGGAGGCCCCACTGGTGTGGAATTTGCAGCTGAACTTCATGATTTTGTTCACGAAGACTTGGTCAAAATATACCCTTCGGTCAAAGATCTCGTCCACATATCTGTGATACAATCCGGTGATCACATCTTGAACACGTAAGGAAACAAACAACCGTGCATAAATTCATCTATTATTGGCAACATATATTCAAATAGCATGTTGAAGTTCATTGGCGAAGCATCTACAGGTATGATGAAAGAATAAGCTCGTTTGCTGAACAGAAATTTCAAAGGGATGGCATTGAGGTTTTAACGGGTCACCGTGTGTTGGGTGTTACAGACCGAATGATCGACATGAAAAAGAAATCCGACGGGCAGAATATTTCGATGCCCCATGGCATGATAGTATGGTCGACTGGGGTCGGGACTAGGCCAGTCGTGAAGGAGTTCATGGAAAATATTGGCCAGGTTTATTTTGTTTCTTGTTTTCTGTAAATAATTGCATTCTTTGGTCTTGTTCAAATGTTTGATGTCTTTTTCTGCTTCATTGTGTTTTCAGGGAAGCAGACGGGTTTTGGCCACTGACGAATGGCTGCGTGTAAAGGGATGTGAGGATGTGTATGCTCTTGGTGATTGTGCCACAGTGGATCAAAGAAAGATCAGGGTCTCTAAGTTTGTTTCCGATATGTCTTTACAGACGAAAATGCTTTTGATTAACCTCTGATTACAAAATTGTCTTTGAAGTTTTGGTTGAGAACTTTTGTTTTAATAGAAGAGCAAAATGAAAATGTAAAATCTTTTGCAGTTGTGACTAGCTTCATAGCTTTTCGGTATTTATCTTTCAGGAAGATATCACGGCCATATTCCAAGCTGCAGACAAGGATAACTCGGGTACACTAACAGTTGAAGAATTCAAAGACGTGGTTGCGGATATAATCATTCGATATCCTCAAGTCGAGCTTTATCTGAAGCACAAGCATCTCTTTGACGTGACAGACTTGCTAAAAGACCCGGATGGTAATGAAAGAGATGAAGTTGACATCGAAGGTTTCAAATTAGCACTATCGCTCGTGGATAAGCAGACAAAGAGCCTTCCTGCTACAGCTCAGGTAAATCCTTTTGCTTACATTTCAAATGCCTCTTGCAATTTCTGTCAGAATTTATGAGTTTTTTTTTTTTTGGTTATGTGATGGGAATATATTATTAGGTTGCGGCACAACAAGGCGCGTATCTCGCTAGGTGCTTCAACTTGCATGAAAAATGTAAATTAGAACCGGAGGGCCCACGCAAGTTCCGAAGTGGCGGTCGTCATCAGTTTCGGCCTTTTCAGTATGACTTTTTCTTTCTCTTAGTGCATAATGTTGATTCTATCTTGCAAGCATAAAAGAAGGCCTTAATTACACCCAGATATCATGATTTTTTTGGTGCCTTTTTTTATGTTAGGTACAAACATTTCGGGCAATTTGCTCCCCTTGGAGGAGAGCAAGCAGCGGCAGAGCTTCCCGGGGACTGGGTTTCAATGGGTCAAAGTACACAATGGCTTTGGTATTCTGTATATGCCAGGTCAGCACACTTTATCAACAAACAAAAGAACGAAAAAGGAAAGGCGAAAATAACACCACACACACACACACACACAAAAGAAGCAAGCTAGTATTCGTATACATTCTGCATGCGTATACGATTATGCGTTTTGAATTGATCAGTTTATGTGTGTTGATATTGTGCAGTAAGCAAGTTAGCTGGCGCACGAGATTTCTAGTGGTTGGTGACTGGACAAGGAGATTTGTGTTCGGGAGGGACTCGAGTCGTATATGAAATCGAGTCAAATGCAACCGAGAAAGAAAAAGAGAAAATATGCGAAAACAGAAAGGAGGAACAAAATGTTACTTCTTGTAATTGCATTTTTAGATGAGTAATATTTTGACAGGGTGAGAGCCTGTCGTTCAGTTAGTAAATCGAACCGATTCACTTTGCTCGACTATAAAGTGAAATTGGTAGTGTTCGAACTTTTTCGAGATGTTCGACTAAGTGTTATTATGTGTCTTATGTGATCTATATGTGCTTTTGCCTTATTTTTATTTCATTTATGTTGTTTTTATTTTATTGTTCGTTGTATCATTCGTGCGCGCCGACGACGCCGTGAGCAAAACCAAGACATTGTGACGAGCCATAAGTGACCTTAGCCCCCTCCTTTCTAAGTGATGCAAATGTGTGTTGTTGTTCATGGTACAATGCGAGCATAAAAAGAGCTGTGCTGAATAATTATTGTTAATTTGTTAGTAGAACTAGTCTTTATCATGTCTCTGAATTTAACCATCTCTAGACTTTGGCCAAAATGCGCACCCAACGGTCCTGTTAGGAAATCATTTCGTTGGAGTTTTTAACCATTAGATCATCTATCCTCGACTGTTACATGATGATTTAACGGTTACAAACCCCGACAAAATGGTTTCGTAACGGGTACGTAGCATTTCTCGCATTTTTATTCCAAATAACCAATTAATAGACTACAACAAAAACAAATAATAAAAAAAAAACAGCAATGCTATTTTTTTGACAAAATAAATATTTGTATACTATTATAATTAAAAAATTAAATAAATAAAAATATGAATTTATCAGATAATTATGAAGTATAAAGAAGTGTGTTAGTAAATCTAATAATATAGTTAAAAAAAAAAAAGAACGAAGAGAGATTTCAAATGGAACAAACCTCTGGTGTGTCAATAAGTCTAACAACATAATTTATTAATAAATAAATAAATAAATAAACACGGAGAGATTTCAAATGAAATCAAGCTCCTTAGTCTGGGTGTTAGGCAAATTATCAATTAGATAGTCATATATTTTGTTTAATATATTTATAAACTATTCAAATAGAAATATCATACTATATAAAATAATATGAATAAAAATAAGGTAAAATTGCATTTTTAGTTTGCTGGTTTAAAGTTGTAGGATTTTTTATCCAACGATTTCAACTTTTTGTCTTTTAATCCTGTAATTTAGTATTTTGCTGCACTGAAATTGCAAAAAAATTTAAAATTACATAACTTAAATTGCTAATAAAAAATCTATCCAAATTTTTTTTATTAGCAATTAAGTCCTGTAATTTTAAATTTTGTTGCATTTTCAGTCCCAAATGACTGAAATTGCATTGACTTTAAAATCATGGAACCAAATAACAAAAATGTTCAATTCTTATGACTAAAAACGCTACTGAATCAAACCAACGGAATTAAAATTACAATTTTACCTAAAAAATACTCTCTCCTATTTTTTAAATGACATTCTAGTTTTTTCAACTATTTGCCAAATAAATGTCTTGGATCTTTTGTACATATTTTTCCATTATTACCCTCATTTAGCCAATAAATACATTACTGTCTTTCCATATTCACTCTTCACTTTTTTTCAAAATATTCATCTTTATCTTCATTAAATAAGGTTATTATTGACAAAAAAAATACTCTTAATTAGTGTGCAACTTCTCAAAACGACATATATTAAAAATAGGAGGTAGTATGACATTTCACAACAAAAACATAATTTTTTGAAACAAGTATGACCATAATTTGCAAATTATGATCTTATTTATTAGTCAGGATTTTGTAGTATTTTTTTTTTAAATATCACGCGTGCATTAAATATAGTAATAGAGAGAGAATTATTATTAAAAAAAATAATAATTATAATAATTAATCACCTTAACCTACTCCTAACCGTCCGATTAAAGGTCTCTTTCCTTTCCTACAACTTTCAGATCCTCGTTTTTCTCCTAACAAACGGGAAAATCATCAACCCTTCAAAATCGTCCACGTGTCCCACGACCAGTTTGACCGTCCTACCCTCGTTTACGTGACCGCTACTCCACAAAAATAGCTGCGCTCCTCGCTTTTCTTCCTTGTGTTTTATTTCACCCCAAAAAGCACACAAACAAACAAGTTAACAAATCTGCGCACAATAAAATAAAACAATAAATCGCCTTTGATACTATTAGTTTCCAAAGAAACGCCATTGATGCACAACCCATTGCTGCTTTCACCATTCGCTTGACAAAAAAATTTTGTAGTATATATATATATATATATATATATATATATAAGAAGTTTGAGAAGTTGGCAAAAAAAATCCTTAAAGATTTGATTTTTACGATGAGTGGTTACGGGTTTTACCAGAGAGCTTCGAGGGCTTACAGCGCAAACCCTAATCTCTTCAAGTTGTTGATTGTTTCTACTGTCAGGTTTTGAAAAATCATCGCCTTTCTTTTCGTTTTTTTGCGTTACGTTATGAAGTTTTTTTTTTTTTTTTTGCTTGTCTGTGTTTTGGTGGGTTCGGATCTTGTTTTGTGTTTGTCATACGTTTCTGCACTTATTTTATTATTAATGTTGTTTTATGATTTTGTGATTAGACGTGAGATGTGAGTGTTTGATTGTGAATGTGTGTATATAATTATGTTGTATTAAACAGGATTCACTTTTTTTTGTTGATTATTTATGTGCCTTTTATTTTACTGACCAGATTTACTTTTTCTTTTTTATTGTTATTTGTAAATCCTGTTTCAGATATGTTTCTTCTATGTTTTTGTTTCACCATTGAGCAATTTCTGGTGTTGATTGATCTGTCATGGTGTTTACAGATCCAAGAAATTAGAGTGCATGTTAATGACATAACACTAAATACTCTTGGTGTGTGAAATCAAATTAGATTACTCAAGAATTATATCAGTAATGCTCTTTTTTTTTTTGGTTTAAATAAAATAAATATATAAAAAAAAAGCAGTGGTGGAGGGATACTGGCATTCTCTGAGAACAGCCCGATAAGAGCTGCATATGCTGATGTGCGCCAGCCCGATATCAAGAAGAAAGTGGTGGTGTTGGGTACTGGTTGGGCTGGCACGAGCTTTGTCAAGAGCTTGAAAGATCCTGCATATGATGTTAAAATTGTGTCCCCAAGAAACTACTTTGCTTTCACGCCTCTTTTGCCGAGCGTCACTAATGGCACGGTTGAGGCACGAAGCATTGTCGAGCCAATTCGTACCATTGTCAGAAAGGTATTGTTTGTACATACGGTGATGCAACTGATCGAATTCATCGAATAATAAAAGTAAATAAATAAAAATTATTGCTTATCTGAAAATTTGAATAGATGGCCAAGCAAAAAAGTTTTGTCCTGAGGTTGTTTTAATTTATGGATATATTTGTATGTTTGTCGAACCTAACTTGTGGCACATGTTACGACGAAGTATTATTTTTTCTAATCTTACGCAACTTAAACTGTTTGCAGAAAAAGTTTGATGTTCAGTTACAAGAGGCTGAGGCCTACAAAATCGATACTGAAAACAAGAAGGTATACTGCCGATCAACCCAGCAGAACAACTTAGGCGGGGTTGATGAATTCACAGTGGATTATGATTATCTAGTGATAGCAATGGGTGCTCGTTCAAACACATTTAACACCCCTGGTGTTGAGGAGAATGCACACTTTCTCAAGGTACCATCTTTGTTTTTTAGCAGGGAATTAAACAAATCTTTTTAGTGAGATGTTTTCATTAGTTCTTTTCTAAGTACATAAAATTAATTCATTTTATATTGATGTGTTTTATTTTGTTTTATTATTATTATTATTTTTTTTTTTTTATGTAGGAAATAGAGGATGCACAGAGAATCAGGAAAACGGTGATTGACTGTTTTGAGAGGGCAAGCCTCCCGAGCGTGAGTGAGGAGGAGAAGAAGAGGATTCTGCATTTTGTTGTGGTGGGAGGTGGGCCCACTGGGGTTGAGTTTTCGGCTGAGCTTCACGATTTTGTGAAAGAGGATTTAGCCAAACTCTACCCTAAGCTCATGAACTTCGTTCAAATTACACTTCTTGAAGCTGGTGATCATATTTTGAACATGTAATATTGTTTTTTCTTTTTTCTTTCTCTATTCCATCTCCTTAGTTTTGTTCTTTCCCGCGAAGCCTCTTGCGATTCATCAATGTGAGTGAATTAAATAATATTTTTCTTGCATTTTCACAGGTTCGACAAGAGGATTACTACTTTTGCAATGGATAAGTTTGGTAGGGATGGTATACAAGTGAAAGTTGGTTCCATGGTTACAAAAGTAGGCGAAAAGGAGATATCTACTAAAGAAAGAGCCTCGGGCCAAATGGTGTCTATACCTTATGGGATGGTCGTCTGGTCGACTGGGATTGGTACTCGTCCAGTTGTGATGGATTTCATGAAGCAGATTGGACAGGTTTTTTTTTTGCCTTCTCTTTTACTGCATTGTTAATTCATTTGTACACAGTATTGAGTTTCAAATTTTTTTTCTGGTTTTGTAGACAAACAGACGAGTATTAGCAACTGATGAGTGGCTGCGTGTCGAAGGATGCGATAATATCTATGCTCTTGGGGACTGTGCTACAATAAATCAACGCAAAGTCATGGTACATTTCGTTTCAGTTCATCATATATTACTATTAGCTTATTTTATTTTATTTTATTTTATTGGGCAATGCTTCATAATTTTGTGAAAGAATTATGACCGACCATCTTATGAACGAATTTCCGGTATTTGAACAGGAGGACATATCTGCAATTTTCAGCAAGGCAGACAAGAAGAATACGGGCCACCTAAAGGCTGATGATTTTAAGGAAGTGATCAAGGATATTTCTGATAGGTATCCCCAAGTGGAAATCCATCTGAAAAAGAAGCAGCTCAAAAATTTCCTTCAGTTGCTCAAGAAAGCGGATGGGGATGATGAAATCGATATCGAGAAGTTCAAGTTAGCACTTTCTGAGGTGGATTTACAATTGAAGAATCTTCCTGCAACTGCACAGGTTCAAAAGATGAATAAACTATGACTGCCACCACAGATTGATATAAAAACATTTTCTTTTCTAAAATTCTCCTTTGTTTATATTTTCAGGTAGCTGCCCAACAAGGTTCGTACTTGGCTGATTGTTTCAACCGAATGGAGCTCTGTGAGAAGTATCCGGAAGGTCCATTAAGGTTTCGGGGGACAGGAAGGCATCGTTTCCGACCATTCAGGTAGAATTTGGAAGAATATTCTTTTAGCTATTTCAGTTAATGCAATAACAATATAGCACTTTTGTCATCTATATATCAGTTGTTTGAAAAATGGAGGGCTCCATACCTAGTTTAAGTTCCTGAGGACAGCGTAGTGTGTAAACTGGTCAAAGTAATTTGAGTACAAGACACTAATTTAAGAGTTCATTTGCTGAAGTGTTCATTTCAAAACTTAGCCGAATTTGTTCTGATTATAAAAAGGACAAACACGTCTTTTAAACTTGCATTTATCTTTACAAGTTCCCTCCAACCCATCACCTTCCTTACGATTGCTTGATTGCAAGGTACAAACATTTTATCTGTATGATTTCACGGTACATTCTGGTAAATTAATGAATTTTTGGTTCACTTACCTTGTTTTTGCTGTATGATTGCAAGGTACAAACATTTTGGGCAATTTGCTCCTTTGGGAGGAGAACAAACTGCAGCTCAGCTTCCTGGAGACTGGGTTTCCATTGGTCATAGCACCCAGTGGCTCTGGTACTCTGTCTATGCCAGGTAAACTTTCAATAACACACTTGGCTGCAAATTACAATTGGGTTAATGTTGAGATATATATTTTTTCTTATAATAATGTTACATGTTGAGATATTCTGAATATATTGATGTCTGGTCTTATTTTCTCGTCTGAATATATCTCTGCAGCAAGCTGGTCAGTTGGCGCACAAGATTTCTGGTGATCTCGGATTGGGGCAGGCGCTTCATATTCGGGAGAGACTCGAGTAAAATCTGAGATGAGCTGATTCATATAGGGCTGCGTAGCTTAATACACGCATGGGAAAAAAACAATTTTCATGACTTTACATTCAGACTTAGTAGTTTTTGTTGGAACCCTTTTTTCAGAGTGTTTTGATGCTTTGTTGTGCTGCTTGCCAGCCAATGCATTGCTGAGTTCTGCTACTGAAATTTTGGGTGAAGGATATTGCTTTCAACCTCTTTTACAAGAGAGGTAGAGAAGTATGGTTAATTCTTAGCTATCTAGTTCTTTTGGTTTAAGGTTTTGATACATTTGATACTATTTTATGTTTTATTTTCACATGGATGCATACAGTTAGTTCATCGAGTAATGCCAAAGGACTCGACTTTCATTTCTTGTAACAATATGAGTTTAACTTTCTTCTTTTCTGCAATCTACGAAAGCTAAGAGGAATTTCCTCAACTACAACACCAACAGTAGTGATAGTAAAATGCAGAAACAAAAGGATTCCAAGATTTTTACTAGTCTGATGATTTGTGTGTGTTACAGCCTAAATTTCATGTCTCTTACAGCCTACAAACTGGAACAGAAACTACATAAAAAAAATTTGCTAGATAAAATAGAACAGATTAACCCAATCAACAGCAAATCTCCAAGGGTGGAAAAGAAAATGCTACAATTAAATTTCTTATATTTCAAGCATAACAACTCATATGAACATAAATATGTGCCCAATTGACACACATCATCAGCTGATTAACCGCAATATCGTATTAGATAAAACCAATGTGTGGTGTTGATCAGAACCTAGCATACACAACATGTCTAACAAAGGCCTAATTATTGACCTAAAGGTCAATGAGTCGCATAGTACGAATCTTGCGATAGGTTTTTGCATAAGACAACACATTGATCCTCTCCTCCAAAGCATATTAGTACTATGCGCCCGACCTTCCTCCAAACTCTCTGTGTACTTGTTAAAACAACTCTTCCTCCAAGACGGTAAAAGCAACTCCCTCGCTCGGTTTTCATGAACCTATGGAGGTCTTACTTTTTTACTCTCTCCTGTAACCTGGTCAAATTCAAGTAGGTGGCGGTGTAATTATCCCGAGCTCAATTAAAATTCAACTTGAGGTATTGTGAGCTCTTGCTCAGCATGGTCAACCAACCCACAGACTGAAAAACCCTCAAACCAAAAATATAAATTATTTGTATTTCCCAAACTGGAAATCCCTTGGAACAACCGGTTTCGGAAAGAGTTTATTCATCTCCGTGGAGAATTTCGAAGCCAACTCCAATCTCCCGGATTTCTTTAAACTAAAAATCAAAGCCTGGTAGATATGAACTGAAGGACTGATCCCTCTACATTTCATCTCATCAAATGCTCTCAAGGCTTCTTCAACATGTCCCGATCTCCCTAAGCTCTCGACCAGAGCTTTATAGCTCACCACATCCGGCTGAATGCCTCTCTCACTCATCTCCTCAAAGTAAAACAAGCACAAATCAAATCTACCCATTTTACGAACACAATTCAATACTGTGTTATACGTTACGATATCCGGAGCAAGACCGGCAGCAGCTTTTATCAACTCAAACAAACGCAGCATGTCATCAACTCGCCCCTGACGACCCAAAATCGCCAAAACCATATTGTACGTGACCAAATCCGGCTCACATTTCAAGCTCTTCATTTGATCGACTATCAACAAGGCACTTTCGACATGCCCACACTTAGCCAGAGCAAATATAAGCCTGTTCAGAACAATATCGATTCTGGGCAGTTCCAATTCGCTAACTTGTTTGATGAAATTCAGCAACACAGAAGGATTATCAAATTTTCCAAGAGCTCTAGCGACGATTAGATATGAGCTCAAAGTGATTGAACCAGAAAATACAAGAAGATCTCTAAAGACTTGAGAGAGGGCCTCAACATCATTCTTCGCAACCGAAGCTTCTAGAAGGTAATTATACACACGGGGGCCGAGGAAAATTTGCTTACCGCGTAATTTCTGCGGGAGAATGACGGCGGCTTGAAGGTTTTCGGCAGCGCACAGCCTTCGAATGTGGTTGATACAAATTTCTTCTCTAGAAACAGAAGGATTGTTCTCACAAGCTAGGATTTGGTTCAGGATTTCGTCGGTGCTTTCTTCAGGAGAAATTTGGGTCGAAAATGGTGGCCGATTGCAGATTGAAATATTCAGAGCAGGTAATAAGCGAACCCTGGAAACTCTGATTGGGATGAACTTGACGAAGCTATGGAATAGAAACACGGCCATCGACTGTTATAGCTCGATTGAGCGGAATTTCCGATGGGGAAAAATATATTTTGGCTAACTCGGGCGGAGCCACCCAATTAGCTGCGCCCCATGTGGCGGCGACATACGTAGAAGGAAGTGCGATGAAGAGCAGAAAACGGCGGACGAAAAAGAAGAGAAGGTAAGGACAATGTGGGGATTTCATTGCCCAACAATGCGAGTGTGTTTAGTAACAACTAAATTAGCGAGGTGTTTTCTTACATGGATATGGCGCGTTGTGCCTCGGAAGGGAGCCAGGTCGTAGGCGCACGTGGCGTTCGGGAGCGACGGTGGATTTCGTGGTCGGCCCGGTGGTGGGTGTGTTGAAAGTCAATACGGATGGGAGTTCTAATCTATCGATGGGGATAGCTAGCGCGGGTGGCGTTGTTCGAGATCACTGTGGGAATTGGGTGCATTTTGTTATGAATATTGGCTTTTGTTCGATTGTGGGTGCGGAACTTTGGAGTTTGTTTCAGGGCCTTCTCTTGGCATGAGATATTGGTGCTCGAAGGGTTACTGTAGAAGTTGACAATAAGGATATTCTCGAGACGGTTAAGCACGAGTATGTTTGTGGGCCACCTGGCGGGTTGGTGAATGGTATCAAGGAGTTATTAGCCCGCCGTTGGGATGTGGATGTCGTCCATGTTTATCATGAAGCCAACATTGTGGTAGATTATTTGGCATTCTTGGTGGCGAAGTGCCCAGGTGGATTGCAGCGTTTGAGTCCTCCGTCGGGGGTGAGCATGTGGCTACTTCATGATAGGATTGGCGTCGCCTCTTCTCGAAGTGTTCTGACTTAGGCGTTGCGTAGACTTGCCTCCATTTCTTGTAAAAGAAATAAAAAAATAAAAATAAGAATAGTGTGAATTATTTGTCATTGTAAATTTTCATATTAAAACAAGTTTAATTTTTTAGAGTAAATATTTCTATTATATAAATATTTTTTTTCCTAAAAGTCTATAGAAGTTTTTTATTTCATTCTTGGTAGTTATTTTAGAAAACACTTGTTATATCGATGAGCTTTTAACTATCAATCGTAAAATTGCAATTTTCTTATAAGGATCAACTAATATGTTATATATTAGCTAGTTTTGTCATAATGTAGAGAAAATGATAAATAACTGAATAAAAAAATCGGATATAGATTATACTAAATTTTTTTCTTTTTTCTCTATGTCTATTTCCACTGTATTTGGGTTGCCTTTTATAGGCAACCTCTACCCCGGGGTATAACATGCTGGTAGCACCATCGTTCCAAGGATCGAATTTCAAAGAGAGGAAACACCCGACAACTTTTTCTTGACAGATACGATAATCACCTCTATGATGTTCGACTTTGTGGGGTGCTAGGATATGAAAAAAGCGTGGTACGACTGGCAGCATGGCACATCTTGCGGTTTAACTCCCAAAGTAGCCGAAGGGTCGGCTACAAGGATTTAGAACTGACATACTAAGCATAATAAAACCTTAATTTGACAATAATAGAGCAAGCAAATAGTAGGTATCATTCTTCATGTTCCAAGCTCTTCTTGGGATCGTCCACTCGACTCCTCCCTAATATGCGTGAACTTGATATCATTGAAAGCCAGCAATAGATATATAATTTAGAATCATCAACTCTCCTCCCCAATCTGTGTACAGCGAACTTTAGATTTCATTCAAAGCCATCAATAGACATAATTTGGGTTTTACTTGACAACAATTTGGATATAAATTATTAAAATTCGTATTTACAGAACCGAATACTTCAAAACCTTAGCCAAACTACCATCAAAGTTATGAACTTTAACCTCTCCCCATTCATTTTCAGAGAGTCAACTCAACTACATATTTACAGAATTCACATTTACAATCCTTCAACTTCTAAAAGCTCACTTTTTTAATCACATCATCTCAATCGGATCCAAAACCGGATTGCCCTCTCAACTCGGGCCACCCAGTGAGTCCCGCCTCGAAATCACCATATAGACCTTTCCAAGCGACTGGATCTGAAAC